AAAAAAAAAAAAAAAAAAAAAAAAAAAACACATCTTAGTAAAACCAATACCTTCTCAGCTTCGCATCGAAGCTAAAAAATTTTTTTGATTCATTCATATTTCAATAAGCTATAGCAATTTTTATAAAAAAATGTCACAATTTACCAATTTTAATAAAGGTAATTTCTTGGGGGATTTTTACCATTTGCGGGGAAAATATTTTAATTTATTTGTATAATGTCTTCAATTAGATACGATTTGTAATATTTTAACGTATCATTGAGAATAATCGGTCCAGTAAGAGCTGAGAAAAAGTAGTGGCAGACAAAAAAAAAAAAATAAACACATTAATAAAATTAATACCTTCTTAGCTTCGTATCGAAGTTAAAAATAATAAGTCCCGACGACTTGTCTTCTATGTGCAAACGCCTGCCCTAGTTGAAATACATGATATTTTTTCCTTCAAATTTGTTTTTTTTTATTTTTTTTTTTAAATAACTTATAAAAGTTTGCCATAGTAATGAGTCCATCGATATACATAAAATCTACAAGAATATAACTTACATTATATTTAAATTTATACTTATTTTGTCTCTTTAAAGTTAAGAAAAGTTAAAAAATTTTTTGAATTTTTAAAAACTTGAAAAATTGTATAAAAAGTAGATTTTTTCAACATAACATTTAAAAGTGTTCTGGAAAATCTGCGTCTATTAAACATATACCAAATTAAAGTTTATGTTATGTACTATAAAATATAAAAAAATAATATGTCCCGATGACATATTTTCTACGTGCAACGGCTGCCATAATTAAAAAATGTTATTTTCGTGTTCAAATTTTCATCTTTAAATTGCTATAACTTTTAAAAAAAATAGATAGATCAACAAAAATTTTGTTTTCTAAAACGTTATAAAAAATATATTATATATACCTCTTTCATCCGACACTTTTTTTTTAATGGAGAAATTTCTATTGGAACTATTGGAAGTTTTCTGGTAAATCTGCGTCTTTTAAATATATGTTTAAATAAAGTTTCTTTTATGTACTAGACGCTCAAAAAAAAAACTTATACCGATGACCAATTTTCTATGTGCAAATGGCAGTCGACGTAGAATAAAAAGTAGAAGATATTTTTGCTTTTGGAATAATCAACCAACTATGTCACGACCTAACTGTACTACCGTTTTTTTTAATTGTAATTACCTATTCCTGTCTATAAATAAAATATAAGTATTAAGCATATTTCTATTAAGTTATCAAATGGTTGGATTTGAACCTTTGTTATATATAAGATGTTTTGGCTCCATCGTGTTTGGGTAAATTGACCAAAACACAATACGTTTGAGCATAAGTAGTACAATATTTGAGTACCTGAATCCCTAAAAATATTGCACATTTAAGTACACTACACATGTATCATGAAAACCGACTTAAATTTATTTTAGTAGTACTTGTTACAACAATTTTTTTTCCACGACGGGTTTTTGAAACGTCAGATATACTAACGTCCATCTTATATTCACAACTAACAATTTGTTCAACCGGTTTGTTTAACAAAACCTAATAGAGCTTATCAAGTAAAAGCAGTTGTTAATTACTGCACTGTACTAGACTTACTTATACTGGTAGCTTTTTTATGTACCTAACTGAGTAGTAATTATATGTAACCAAACGAGTTGTAGATTAACAATAAAAATATTGATAATGCGCTTAAACGTGATTATCCCGAATTTTTAAAGAAGAAGTTTCTTATTACTAAAAAACCAGCTTTGTAATTAATCAAGAAACGGTAGTGCTAACAGACGGCACAAATAAAATAATTGAAAGGAGGAAAGGCAATAGTTTTTGTTAATCTATTATTAGCTATTTAATTTTTTTGTGTTAATAAACGCGTTTATTTTGCGTTTTTATTTATTTATCTACAAATCTTTTTGAGTGTGTTAACGTTATCAAATTAACTATACTCACAATAGCTTAATGTCGGCTGAAGGTCAAATATATTCCTAAAAATAACATAATAAGATTCCCAAATCAATTATTTTGTCACTGAAATTTTATATAATATTACCTATATAGTTATTTAATTCATTATACCATTAAGTATCGTGTTCGCTTGGACTCCAAATAATATGGAATACTGAAGTCCTAGTAAAAAAAGAGGCAAACGCTAGTTCGATCATTTTGAAAATCATTTTTCTGAAATCGTTTGCAATTTTGATATTATTTATAAAAAATGTTCAACTAGTCATTAGTATTTAGTAATTGTTTAATGCAAAATCTAATAAAATCATTGAAACGGCTATAAGAAACTCCTATCAAAAAGCCATATACGTCATTTTTCCTTAATGATATCACTAATATAAATCATTTATTACATAAAAATAAATAAAGCAATATGTGTCAAAAACATCACTAATTGAAAATTATTAAATGTGACTGTTCATACAAACATTTAAATTTTTTATTCAAAATTTAAAATGATTCATATTTAAAATATACTTGAAATATTTCAACTTTTTTTTTATAAAATTTTAAATCACTAAAAATGATAACTATTGGTAAATAATTATTCATAAGGTATTTGTAATAAATAATAAAACGATTTTGATGATTTTCCATATTCGTATAGTGTATTATTTAATGAATTTTATTAGTTATTAATAATTGATTGATTTATTGTTAAAAGTAAAAAAAACAATTTGTGTTCATTAATCTTATTGTAATAAAACAAATTTCTGTTAAAAACATTCAATCACACAATCATATTTTGATTATTGTAATTAACACGATGGTGATGTAGCGAAATCATTTCGTTACATTTTTTGTTATATTTTTGCTGAATTTACAGTAAAGTTCGATTTTAATTAAACTGGAAATAAAATGGTGATATTATAATTAGTAAAGTCGTACTTAAATTATCCAAAGTTTGTACANATCACTAATATAAATCATTTATTACATAAAAATAAATAAAGCAATATGTGTCAAAAACATCACTAATTGAAAATTATTAAATGGTGATATTATAATTAGTAAAGTCGTACTTAAATTATCCAAAGTTTGTACAATTTGATCCAAACAGGATAAATTCTATGATGTTATAATATAACATCATATATTATATCATCAACGAAAAATGGGATGAAGGCTGTTTTACAATGAAACACATGTTTCGTATTTAAAAAATAAGCTTCTCATAATCAAATGTCTGATGTGTGTATACAGCGATTTACACAGAATATTTATCTTCAAACTATATTTCAGTTTATTTAGTCAGGAGAATTTTTTTTATTTTATTTAGTATTATTTTTTTCTCGATTTATAAAATATCAAGTAATTTTTCGGTTTATCCATTATACTTTATAAAAATTTCAAATTTATTTTAATGGTAACATACATATTTGAATAGATTAAATGTTCGAAAATGATTAATAGTTAACATTTTTTAAACCTCTATTTTGAAAGTTATTATTATATTTAAATTTAGACTGGCGACAAGGTGCGGATTATTATCTTTTTTATTATACATATTTCCTTCTCTTGTCTAGATATAAAAATACCAATAAATATTAGTTCAAAAGCTATTATCGACTAGTTGTTTTCTAAATTAGACCAATATCTAATAAAATACCTTATTAATTATGTATGTCCCATTAAAAAAAAAAAGTTGATACCCTTATAAGGGCAAGGGGATAGACGCAATCTAAGGGTGTAGAGGGGCTTAACTCTCCTAATTATGCTTCAGCCTCTTTAAAATTATGAAATTTACATCTATATATTATTAAGGAGGGGAGAAATTAAGTTAGTTATCCTCAAACATTTTGTTCAAATTGCATCTAAGGGATAGAGCTAAAAACTATTTAACTACTTATTAATTAAGAAATAAATACTACATAAATAAGGCACAAAAAATAATTATCAAAATTATTATTATTATTTTTGAAGAAAACTAGTTTTCAATGTCAAATAAATAATTCTGCATATTCCGATAAATTATATAATTTTTACTATACACAGTTGACTAAGTTTATTAGTTAAATATTATAAACTAAATGTTGATAATAGTTTAATTGTATATTAAATTATACAATCAGCTCTTATGTTTTGAATGAAAATTTTTCAGTAGGATAATAAAACATATACCACTAAAAATTTAATTAACATAAAATACATTTGCAAGATTTTTTTTAGGCATTTTATTATAAAAATCTCGTTTTTAAATAACACTTGTGGCAAAGAAGTTCTTATATAATAAATCAATTAAAGATTTCAGAAAATGTTTTTTCGAGTGCTAAATGTTGTTTGATTTAATCTTATAAATCAATTCTACAATATTTTATTCCTATTAATATAATTGAATTATGTAATGTTGTCGAGAATATTATTAAAAAAAATTTAAATAAGATATAGTTACGGAAAATTTAAATAATTTATGGATTATATTCAGAAATGACAGAATTGTATGATATTAAACAAAGATAATTCTCCTTTATTTTTATCTATTATCAATACAACATAGCTCTAAAAAAATCATGAAAGAATTAAACAATTTAATTTATGAAGTATTTTGGTCAACTAAAAATCTTACTAAATTTCATAAGCTAATTTTTTGAATGTAAAAAAAATATTTATTCTTAATCGAGGGAATACCTAGTGAGTCATGTTATATTTATTTAAATTGGGTGCTAAGGACTTAAAAATAACTGAAAGTCATATGATTAATTGTAGTTTATATATACAATGTATATTATACATTTATTAAAAACTTTTATATTCATTAAATCGGTAAAAAAAAATTTGCTTTTGAATCGAACATTGAATATATTTTTACAACTCAAGAAATATTTAAAACAAGAAATCTTTATTAAACATTTTTTATTGTGCTCGTTTTAAATGAATAGTACGTACTAAAATATTGTTAGTTTTTTTCAATTTGAAAATTAATCATAAGAATTACAAAAATATTATATTGACCTATCAATTACATTTGATAATCTTGACTGACATTTAAACGATGTAAGTCTAATACACGGAAAACCTGTTATTCATTGTATGAATTTTAAAATAAAACAGGATATTACATCTATCATTCGAAATATGTATCTGATAATTAACAGATTATTATGATTATAATTTTGACATTGTTAAAAGGACGAAAAAAAAAAATTTTTTTGACACAAGAGATACATGTTAAGTTCAATTTAATATAATACATTTTATTAGGAGATAATGTTTAAACGAAAAATTTTCATGAAAATCAGTTTATTCAGTTGTATCAAAATATCAACTTTAAAAATATGTCAGATACATGTTATTGGTATGTATGTCGCAAATTATTGCAATTAATAACAATAATAATAAATTGCAATTATATTTAATGACTTTTGTTTCTTAAAAAAAAAACCGTATATTTTAAAGATTTAGTGTTTTCAATAATTGCATATTTTATAAAAGTCATTTTGTAGCGATAAAAAAAATATAATAGCTACTGCTCCCACTAGTCAAAGATTAATTAAGAAAAAATTTCAGTGGCGTATTTATATATAAATTTAATATATTGTATTGAAATTGAAATTTTTTTTACTTTATCTAATTTATTCAAGAATAATAATGAGGCTAAATATTACCCTAGATTGAACTTTAATCAATCAATTTCAATTATCCTATGAAATCTATCTACAGAGTAACATTAGCGATACTCAGAGATTTATTTAGGAATATTACAACCTATGTAAAGATGAAAAACGCCTCTCCTTCATGACCAATATTGCTCTCTAATACTAAAAAGTATATATATATATGTATATATCATATAATAATACAAGTACATTTTGTTTTTTATAGCATCCAGACGCATATAATGTGTACAAAAAAAAATATATCTAATTAAAAACATAAGTGCAATCATTATTTTTATAAATTATACATAATAATTATATGCAACTGTATAGCAAAACCAAATTCTTCATATGGTGATGCCGAGTTACGCTCATTTAAAGTTATATTTATTAATTTGAAACTATATTGTCTAATATGAATCATTATATGTAAATTAGTTTAATATATTTTAAAAACTATGTGTTAGAAACGATTTCAGCAATTTCAACACCCGGAACAATTTCTCCCTTTATTTGTCTCTAGTTATATTAAATGATTTATGAAAAATAATAGATAAAGTGACCATTAACTTTACATAAATCCAAAAAAAAAATCTAAAAAACGTCTTTCAATCATTGTTTTTTTATACTCGGTGAAGATAAAATGTTAAGTAGAGAAATGTTAATTAAGAAACGCTTTTTTTTTTCGTCAACGAATTGTGTAAATATGTTATTAATGATGAATTTATTAACTTGACAATAAAAAAAATTAATTTAACATTAATATTTTGTAAATCTTATAATCATGATTAGAACTATTAAAAGGAAATGATCATGGTTTTATTGTTTATTTTAAAATTGAAATAGAATTATTTAAATTTTCCTGACAATTTAAAAATATTAATTTTAAATTGCTAATTTATAAAATGATTTTACAATAGCATAAATTATTATTCATGCAATATTTTTAAAAATATAAAATATTATATAATTATTTAGTATCCTTCGTTCTATAATTTCCGGAAAACAATTTTGTGCCTATCCCTCCTTTTTTCTCTTATCGTTTTATTAATTTAAATTTTTTAATAATAACATACATAGATTGGAATAGGTCAAATTACCAAGTCATATAGTTTTTTATTTAAAATCATTTCATTGTATGTTTTTAAAACAATTTTTGCATTTTTATATTATGTAAAAAGCATATTTTCTGTTAATTATTTTTAATAAAAAAAAAATTTTTATTTTATTTATTATTATACTTTCAGAGTAGTCTAAGAATGTAAAAAGTATTTTAAATAAATTATAATGAAATTATTGTAGAATCTAAAGTTATGAGAGTTTGAAGTTAAATTTACTTCACTCTGTATGTTTAACTAACTTACATACTAGAAAATTATCTTTATTCTTAGATAGATAATTTTCTAATGGCTGGTCAATAATAAAGTTTATACTAATATTTTAAAAGATATTAGTATTTTTATAATATGCTGAGAGCGTTAGTATAGTTAATAAATAGCTAGAGATAAAAATAAACATATCCGCACTTCACCACCAGTCATTATATTTAAGAGTTAATAACTTTCAAAATACCAATCCTATTTTAGCTTCGATGTCAAGCTGAGAAGGTATTAATATTACTTAGATATTTTATTTATTTTTTTTGTATGTCTCTTACCACATTTTTTCAGCTCTCACCAAACCCATTTCTTTCAACGATACCTCAAAAATTCAAAAATCGTATCTAGTCGAAGATATTACCATCAAAAATGGAAAAAAATTTTCCTTGTTCCCTGTAAATGCAGAAATTTACAAAAATTTATAAATTTAAAAATCGGTAATTTTTGACATTTTTTCAATGATTTTTACTTAAAACTGCCATAATTTTTTTATAATGATAAAAACAATATATATTTTTTTTATAGATACGTGATATATTTTTATAAATCTGACCCTTTACTTATCCACAAGAGGAGATTCAAAATGACAATTTTTCCTATTTTCATAAAAAATTAACTTTTTAAAGTGTTCCGGAAATACTGACACTTTTCTGTATATCTTAATTAAAACTAATGTAATGTACTTTATTATGAAAAAAAAATGACGGACTTTATTTTGTCTTATGGTGAAAATTTCTACCGTATGCTATTTTTATGTTAATTTTTTCGATTTTGTATTTTATTTTATTTTATAATACCTTACAAAAGTTATTGAGTTAGAAAACAATTTTTAAATAATTTGATTTTTATGTCATTTAAATTCAATAACAATAATAATTATCAAGAATCTCATCACTGCAGTCCCCCTTGTTTGAAGAAATTTCTTATTCATATTAAAGTCATTTTAATATGTATTTTTTTTTTTATTGCTCTCATTTATTTTCTCATCTGGTACTTGACCAAATTTTTTAAACGATACATTAAATGATCACAACTAATACATTCAATTGAGTAGATTCTTTTAACAACATTTTGATTGTTTTTTTTTTGGTTAAAATTAATTATACTATGAATATTTGAATTGTAGAATATTTTTTTCACCAAAAATTACTTAAAAATGATTACTCTGTTTTATATTTAAGTGATCTATTACAATAAAAAAAATATTGAGCTTTTCTGACAAATTTATAGTAAATTATACAGTTTCCAGTCATTTTATTAATATCTTAACACTATTAATTTTTTATTCTCATAAAATTTTTTATTTTATAATGTAAATTTCAAACTTGAAGTTTAACAAATTGAACTTTTTTTTATTATAAACTTTCAAAAAATCAACTTTAAAATATCAAAAAAATTGGTTAAAAATGATATTTTGCACTGATTGTTTTTAAATTAATAAAAATCATTATCTGTAATAATTTAAAAACAATTTTTTATGTTATTAATTATATTTTTACTGTAATAAATCATTTCAAAAGAAATATTAATAATTTCTATGTAATTTTTATTGTTTAAATAGATCTAACAATTAAAATATTCAATACTATAATAGTTATATCCTATAGTTTTTAACTAATTAGTTATAATATTAAATTTATTGGTGATAAAAAAAATATAGTTACTGACTAGAAATTTGCACGAAAATAAAAATATTTTTTTTACTCTAATGAATTTTTTCTGACCATTTATTTATAATTAACAACAAATTATTATCTAAAAAGTTCTGTGTCAAGCACTTCAATTTTCATACACGTTTCTCATAACAGTTATATCTACTTTATAATTTTTATAAATTATACGAAAAAATTTAAATACTAAAATACTAAATATCAATGTCATACTACGATGAATTGCTTTAATAGATATTTATTCATAAATTATACTCATAAAGCAACTAATTAGGAATAATGATAGAAATAGTATTTAATTTTGCTTTTAGAATAATCAACCAATTTCTTAAAATTAAACGCTAGCTACAGATTTGCATCGAAGTGTTTTTTATGATAGTGATATTGATCACTATCAGATATCATCTATACTGCACTCAAATATACCACATTCCGACTGTGCCGCGACCCCTCTATGCTAGGTTATTTTTTAGATAGATAATTTTACGATTTTTAAGTAAATAAAATATAATATATTTAAACAAAATGGAAACATATA